AAACTGGATCCTTTCCTTACTCCTTATAGAAACAGTTCTTTTATTTTCATTTTAAAAATTTTATTTACGTATTTATTTTTGAGACAGAGTCTTGCTCTGTTGCCCAGGCTGGAGTGCAATGGTGCCGTCTAGGCTCACTGAACCTCCACCTCCCAGGTTCAGGAGCTTTCTCAGCTCAGCCTCATGAGTAGCTGGGACTACAGGCTCAATCTACCACGCCTAGCTGATTTTGTATTTTGGTTTGCGTATGTTGCCCGGGCTGGTATTGAACTCCTGGGCACAGTGATCTGCCACTTCAGGGGTGCAGCACACCAACATGGCACAAGTATACATATGTAACAAACCTGCACATTATGCACATGTACCCTATAACTTAAAGTATAATAATAATAATAAATAAATAAACGTAAAAAAAAAAAAAGAATTGTTTCTATACACTTGAAAGTATGATACAGCATACTGGAACATGTCAAGACTATAAATTAGGAGACCTCAGGAACAGCCTCAAATTAGTGTCAGTCTAACTGTGCAACCTTGGGCAAATCACTAATGTCTCTGGATCTCAGTGTCCTCGCCTACAAAAAAGGTAACTTGGACAAGATCAGTAGTTTTCAAAGTGCAATGTGCATATCATCAGTGGCACAAGATACAATCTTAGGTGGCTCACAAATGGATAGGGGTTATTTTGACAGATGTGCAATTTTAAAACATGTATTAGCACATGAAACCCATGATATCATAACTGTTATTGTTTTTGTTGAAAATGTTTTAAGTTAAAGAAAAATATGGCCAGGCGCGGTGGCTCACGCCTGTAATCCCAGCACTTTGGGAGGCCGAGACGGGCGGATCACAAGGTCAGGAGATCGAGACCATCCTGGCTAACACGGTGAAACCCCATCTCTACTAAAAATACAAAAAATTAGCTGGGCGTGGTGGCGGGCGCCTGTAGTCCCAGCTACTCGGGAGGCTGAGGCAGAAGAATGGCGTGAACCCGGGAGGCGGAGCTTGTAGTGAGCCGAGATGGCGCCACTGCACTCCAGCCTGAGTGACAGAGCAAAAACCCCGTCTCAAAAAAAAAAAAAAAAATTAAGTAAATAGAGGTGCTGAAAGGATATGACAAAAATGGAAAGTTTGCTGCTCATTAAATCGTTTTAATATCCAAGACTCTTTCCAGCTCAGTTATTCTGTAGTATATCAGATAGCAAAGAAAATTTTAAGAATGAACTAGGATCAGCAATATGCAGTTATGGTAGAAGCTGTACCCCCAAAATCAGAGTGCTGGACTTCAGAAGAATCCCTTTAACTTCATTAAGTCCTTGACTCTCTTTTTTGACCACAGCGTTTGCCTGCTACCGAAATCTCTAGGGCAGGAGCATGGTGACTTCTACGTCACCATCCAACCTACCCCATGCAGCATTCTCCATCAACAGCCCTGCCCCTTGTCCCTGTCTCCCTGGTGACGCATAACAAAGGCCATCCAGCTCCCAAATCTTCAACTCCATCCTCTCCAAGAAGGACCCCAAAAGCATTTGTGTCCCAGCAACTGTGAACTTTTCCAGGCTGCCAGACAGAAATTTATCTAATGCTGGTCAAGACCCACCTGGTTGAATACTAGAAAAAACAATCCCTGTTCACAATTTATTGCTATATCTACTTCATCTTCTCTCCTCCACAAATTTTTCCTTTTTCTTCTTTTTTTTTTTTTTTTTTTGGAGATGGAGTCTTGCTCTGTTGCCCAGGCTGGAGTGCAATGGCAGGATCTCAGCTCACTGCAACCTCTGCCTCCTGGGTTCAAACGATTCTCCTGCTTCAGCCTCCTGAGTAGCTAGGATTACAGGCGCCCGCCACCACACCTGGCTAATTTTTGTATTTTTAGTAGAGATGGGGTTTCACCATGCTGACCAGCCTTCCTTTCACTTTTAAAAGAGGAGGCATGAAAACTTCACAAAGTAGTTTGCTTCCATACTAAGAAGAAGGGAGGCTGGGCGTGGTGGCTTATGCCTATAATCCCAACACTTTGGGAGGCTGAGGCGGGCAGATCACCTGAGGGTCAGTAGTTCAAGACCAGCCTGGCCAACAGGGTGAAACCCCATCTCTACTAAAAATACAAGAATCAGCCGGGCGTGGTGGCACATGCCTATAATCACAGCTATTAGGGAGGCTGAGGCACAAGGATCGCTTGAACTCAAGTGGCAGAAGTTGCAGTGAACCGAGACTGCGTCCCTGCCCTACAGCCTGGGTGACAGAGTGGAGGCCACATGCATCTGTGGTCCTGAGAAAATGCCCTTGGGCCCATTTTCAAAAGCCTGCTGGGGAGAAAGCCTGTTACTCCTCCACTGAGAGTCTCAGACCCATCTCAGATGGGGACAGGGAAAGGCGCAGGTGAACCAAGCCCAAATCCCAGACTTCCCAGCTACCTCCTGAACCTCATCAGCCCAGAGCTCCCAAAGGACCCCAGTTACCTTAGAACAGCTCCAGAAACTGATGGCTGTTTGCTTAGTGCCCCAGCATCTGTGCAGATCACCAGAAAAGCTCACCAACTGCTTCACTTCCTGTCTGGGTAGGTTTTACTTCCCTCCAGTGTGCACCAGGGATCCGAGGACAGGCAGCGGAGAGGGGCTCTGCAGCGCTGAGGCAGCCGGAGTGGCAAGTGTGTGGTTTACATGCATGCTTGCTGTGTGCATTTGAGTTTGATGTGGGGGACTTGTGTGCATGCTCATGCGGGTGTTTGTGTGTTCGTGTGTGTTTCAGTTTATGTGCATGTGGTTTTGTTTTGTTTTGTTTTGTAGACAGTTTCACTCTTGTTGCCCAAGCTGGAGCGCAATGGCGCAATCTCAGTTTACTGCAACCTCCGCCTCCCGGATTCAAGCAATTCTCCTGCCTCAGCGTCCTGAGTAGCTGGGATTGCAGGTGTGTGCCACCATGCCCCACTGATTTTTTTGTATTTTTAATAGAAATGGGGTTTCACCATGTTGGCCAGGCTGGTCTCGAACTCCTGACCTCAGGTGATCCGCCCACCTCGGCCTCCCAAAGTGCTGGGATTACAGGCGTGAGCCACCATGCCCAGTGGCATGTGGGTTTGTGTTAGAAGGAGGGTGTGTGTGTGTGTTTGTGTGTGCTGTGTCTTTGAAAGGTCCACAACATATTAGTTTTAGAAACAAGCACCGCAAGAGGCACTCCAAAATCTGTTCCTGAACTCTGGGAAGTTCTCCTTCTTCAAAATGTGATTGTGGACTGTCGGGCAACCCACTAGACAGAGGATAAAAAGTAGCTATCATAAAATACATGTTTTAGTGGGGGAATCAGGGATGTGACAGGACAGTAGAGGGGGTAGTACGTGGGAGACAAGAGCTGGGTCGTGAAGAGGACCAGCAAGAGCAACGCTCCGAGGGACAAGTGGAGCAGACAAGGCTCCTATGCCCAGGACGGTCAGAATCAGACCTTGCTTTGTACCTAGCCTTAGCACTCTAGCAGTGGGACCTTGACCAAGTTGTTTCAACTCTCTATACTTCAGTTTCCTCATCTGAAAATGTGGATAATATTGTCAGAGGGTCTATTGTGAGAATTAAAGGAAGAACACATGCAAAGTACCTGCCACATAGTAAGCTCTTGATAAATATTAGCCGTGACTATTCTTAGAAGTAACTATTGGTATGCGTCATCCAGGCCAATTAGAAATGCAGACATGGGAGGCTACACCAGGGACTTCCATGATACACGCGTGGTCTAAAGACTCGATTGCACCCTACTCCTCCCCAGTCCCACTCAGATCTACCCCTAGACCCCAAATCTACCCTCCAAAGCCCACAGCACTTTCAGTTCTGCAGCTCCCATACATCTGGAGCCTTGGTGCTCCTTTTTGTCATTTTCTCCAAAAAGTACCAAGGTCATTCATCTAATAAACAGGAAGAAATCCAAAAGTGAAAACACAGAGGGGTCAAGGATTCCCTCATCAAGAGTTTAAGACTAGGCCGGGCTCAGTGGTGCATGCCTGTAATCCCAGCACTTTGGGAGGCTGAGGCGGGTGGATCACAACATAAGGAGTTCGAGACCAGCCTCTACTAAAATACAAAAATTAGGTGTGGTGGCGGGCACCTGTAATCCCAGCTACTCAGGAGGCCGAGGCAGGAGAATTGCTTGAACCCGGGAGGCGGAGGTTGCAGTGAGCTGAGATTGCACCACTGCACTCCAGCCTGGGTGACAGAGTGGCAATAGCTTTCACATAATTAATCAGTAAACCAAAGTCGATAAATTCTGAGAGATTCATGTGTTGCATATTATATTTGTTCTGTTGAATAATTGGTAGGGGTGTTATTATGATGTCACCATCACACTTATACCATCATTTCCGATTCCTGAAAACACAGGGTCTCGTTCTTGACGTGGATACGATTGATACGTGAAGTCCCTCGGGGCGAACTTAACCTGACAGATTCGTATATCTAACATCATTTGTTCAAAATTACATAATTATAGTATCTGAATACCCGATCAATTAAATCATTAATTCTGCCTACAACGCATTAATAAATCCTCTCAGTTATATATATCAGATTAGATGGTTAACAATCAATTTAATCCTACTTTTCGCATAGTTACCCTATATTCACTCACTCACTTCTACGTCTTTTTCTATTCTTACGTGTATCACCGATTCTAACTGTCGCCTCAACTATCAGTTCTATTTGAAAAGTTATATAGACGTGTCAATTTGAAATGAACCGCTCCTGCCTCTCCTTCGCCTTCTGGCTCTCCTTGTATACTCACTTTTTCCGTCATCATCCAGTCTCAATTCTTACTATTACTGACAGGTTCTAAACCTGTTCATTTATTTCCACGAACTAAACTCCGTCTGGTTACCACCTGTCCACCTTTGTTTTAACTACTGTAAACTAATATAGCCTTGATATTAAACCTTGTCCTCATAAAGTTACACAAATCTCCTAGGTTTAAGCATATTTTGTAGACCGAAGAAAGCAAGGCTTTTTACCTATTTTACACGATAAGGGTTAGAGGCACGATTGTCAGCACTGTTACCAAGACTTCAACGACACGTGCGTAAGAAGATAGTGTGATTGATGTCCCAGACCTGAGTCTACACACTCCTTGTTTGCCCCACTTCCCTTCCACGTTCTTGTGTCGCGCCCGCTCCACACGACTCTCCCCTTTCCCACACCCTCGCCCCACTTTGCGGTCTCCTCCACTCCTTCCCGCCTTTCCTCGCTCTCGCGTTCTCGCTCCTCGTCCGTCGCCTCCTTTCGCTTTTTTCCTCTCTCTCTCCCTTCTCCGGCGCCTTTTTCCGCGCTCTTCTGCGCCGCTTTCTGCTTCTGCCTGCTCTCACTCCTTCTTCTTCTTCTTTTTTCCTCCGCCGCGCGCCCGGCTCTTCTCTGCCGCGCGCGCTCGGCCGGTCACGCTTCCTGCACAGCTCGCCCCGCGCTCTACACCCCCTCCTCCCTGCTCAGCCTCCTCCCGCACCGTACGCCTCGCGCTCACACGGCACTGCCACTCGCCCGGTAGTTTTTTTTTTTTTTCTCTTCACACGCTACCTCTCTAGAGACGGGGTCTCCTCACCCGTCGCTCTACGCACTCCTGCTCTCCGCACTCTCGACCTCCACTCGCGTCTCGGCCCAAGAGGGCTCGCGCTTACAGCTGAGCCCACCCGCGCCCGGCCTGATGATCATCTTTCAAATACAGCGTCAAAACAACAGACGCCCTGCGTTCCACATTTTTTACCGCCCTCGTGCACTTGGCAAATATTCTTCCAAAATGGCCTCCAACCGTGTGTCGCCCTGTCGTACCGACATCTTTCTCAGCTACGGCAACGCCTCAGAAGTCACACCATGGTGGAGGCCGATGCCCCTTGGGGCAACTCAGCCCATCAAAAAGCCTGCTGGGAGCTGTTTTAGTCAGCAGAGGGCCATAGAATGGGTCTCGGGAGAATGCAAGGTGCCCCTGGTCACCTCTGCAGAGCCTGCCTGCTGCCGGCTCCGGGATCTAAACTGGGCTCTGCAGTTCACCGTTCCCAACCCCACATCCAGGTAGGTGTGGCCCAGCTCTTGTCCTGTGCTGTCAGTCCTCCACTCCCACGCACAGCGGTTCCCCCCTCGACAAGGACCCCGCTGCAGTTTCAGCACACTGCCACAGCCCCTTGCGCCCAACGCGTGTCCGACTGCTGAGTCGCTGCACGCCACTCGCACGCATGTCGAACAATTAGTCCTACCTTTTAAAGCCAAACGCGTTTCTGAAAGAAAAGGCTTGATCTCTCTTGAGCCATGTTGACTGCGTATTAAAAAAAAACCCTTCAAGGGGATACATCCACAGCTGGGGCCTGTTGGGGCTGGGGGGTGGGGAGGGTAGAGGCATTAGGAGACCATACCCTCGAATGGTACAGATGGATCGAGTCATCGATGGTGCCGCAAACCAACATGGCACATACTACACCTAGTATCCGAAACCTGCATCGTCTGTCGCACATGGTACCGCAGAAGTACAGTATTAAAAAAAAAATTCCAAAAAAACCTTCACCGTCGCACTTCTGCTTCCAGAACTGGTGGTGGTTTGCCTCTTTGTGCAGCCACTCGACACTCCAACTCCTCTGTTTCTCCTCTATCTACTCTGTCGGTAACATTCTCAACTCCTCCTCCTGACTTCCTCAACAAAAACTTAGCTGCCTCTACCCACCACTCTCTCTGCACGACAAACGTCTCCAACTCTCACAACACCCCAGCCT